GCCGCCTGGGCGCTTCAGATTTTCGCGGAGTCCGCGAGCGCCGCTCCGGCGCCTTCTCCTTCGAGATCTGGTTTGGCGAGAAATGCCTCATCCTCGGCACCTTCGACATCGCAGAGGAGGCCGCCCGCGCGCACGACGCGGCGGCGTGGCGCCTCCTGAGGCCTCGTCGGGATATGAATTTTCCCGACGTGTCGAGCCAGCGGGCGCAGGATCTCGCGCCTCTCCCGCGCCTTTCCCCCGACGAGGATCGTCGTGTCCACTGGAGGCGGCAGCGTCGCCTCGCCGTCGCCGAGATGGGCGTGGAAGCCATGGTGGTGTGGCACGAACACTTCCCGCAGGACATCGTCGACGAGTGTCAGTTCTACAAGCAAAGGAGGGCGGAGAGGGATGCGAGGAGGGCGGAGCGAGCCGCCTATCGAGAGGACAAGCGTTCACGGAAGCATGCCGCTCAATTGAAACTGAAGCTACGAGAAACGTCGGATTGGGACTTCGAAGACGAGCAGCATGCTGACACCTACATTCAGACGTCGGAGGACATTACCGAGTCGGAGTCGAAAAGCGACGAGTAGTTGGTCTTTTTTTTTATCTGTGTACGCTAAAACTATCTATGTATCCATTTTTATCAAAAAAATGATCGGCGACATCGATGACGAAGCAACAGGCGAGGGTGTGTTGTTTGATGTGGAGAGGCCAATATGCCACCGATCAGCGGACCCGTTGAGAAAAGAGGCGAGCACGCGCTTCGTCTTGTATCTGTGCAGACACAAATCCAGCTTAAAAATGGACCAAAAATTAAAAATGGACCAAAAATGGGTCGGCAGGCGAACGAAAGCAGACGCGCGTCCGTTTAGATCGGCGCGTTGAGCCGACTTTTCTGTCCGCGCCGACCCAGATGGACGAAATGGGTCGCCCCGTTGGAGTGAGCCCTCCCATTGAGCGAACTTCACATCCAAGAATTATTGGGCCCCTGAAATTATTGGGAAAGCCCCATTAACCACTCATTTGAGGGGTTTTCTTTGGAACCTCTTGGAGATGCTCTAACACGAGTGGGATGGTCCACCTGTCTGTTAATGCACTCGGGAACATTGCAAAAAAGGAAAAAGTAAATGGCCACAGTACAACGAGTCAATGACACACTATACATATGGATCTCTCCTGTCATCACAGGGAACAGAGCACACAAGAATTCTCCTACAGGGCGGGGTATGGCAGTTACACTAGACGGCCCCCTCAGGGTCTCAGGGACACAAGTACGTTACACTAGACATGCTAGCTAGCTGGCCATCCGATGTCACATGTAGGATCGATCGGAGCATGACAAAACTGGATCCTCGGCGGGGCAGGGAGAGACATAGGTAGATTGCAAGCAACGTACATGCTGCCACCACTTTGACGCTTTCCAAAGCTAGCAACGCAACAAGGGATCATCTCCTCCTCCCAATCATATCCTAAACAGATACCTCAGATCATCTACAGTGAGCCGAGTAGCGTGGGCACTGGATTTGTCTTCACCGAAAGCAGAGTTGACCATCGCTCTCTTTTCCTCCTGTTAACAAATGCAGGAATAATGTAAGACAGGCACCATGGAATTATAAGCAATGGTGACTCCATGACAAGGCAATTTCTACATCTGCTTCAAATATTTATGTAATCCTATTTCAAGTTTGCTTGTCCCCATTGTCAAATAGTTTGTTATTGTAGTAAACCTAAGTAGAGCTGCCTGGCTGGCTTTCCGTGCACTTGGATTTATTGGCTGTCCAGCTTAATTTGTTAACCATCATTTCTGTAATGTGCCAAACCAGAAATGAATTTCAATCCCTATCAGACAGTTCTCTCACAAGAAAGATTAGAAAACTAACCTACCATGAGACGATCACTGACATGATAAAAGGGTATCAGTGATATTCATGCAGTGCATAATTCTCATCCCCCAAATTAACAAATAACAAGCACATGTTCCTTATGTGGATTAGAAGTGCTCATGAACTCACATCATAAGTGTAAGACGGATAATTACCTGCAGAGATAAAATACGATCTTCCACCGTATCTGTAATGGTTAGACGAGAGACAGTGACAGGACGAGTCTGACCAATTCTGTGTGCTCTATCAATTGCCTGGTCCTCAGCATAAGGATTCCACCAAAGATCAAGGAGTATTACATGGCAAGCAGCAACCATGTTCAGACCAAGATTACCCGCTTTCAATGACATAATCATAACTCTAACCTGAAAAAAGAAGACATCCAGCAGCATAATGTCAGCTGATTGTCCAGAAGTAGCAAAAGAGACGAGTTGGGTGAGGGGGATGACCTCTGGGTCGGTGTTAAAATCCTTCACGGCTTTATCTCTTGAATTGAGGGACATTGTTCCGTCTAGTCTCCTGTACTGTATAAGATTGCTGTTCAGTGAAAACTCCAGCAAATCCAGCATGCCAGTCCACTGCGAGAAGACAATGGCTTTCACAGGGGATACTCGGTTTGGATTTGATTCAATGGTATCACTGTCTGTAAGAGCATGCATGTTAATGATAGAATTCAGTATATCGACGGTCGCTTGTATCTTCGAGGAGATGTAACTGCTTTGACTGATAGAAGATAGCCCATCGTCTGCTGATGAACTCGCTATCGCATGAGTACTGGTCTTGCCGGAGATACAAATCTTTAATGTCCCTGATGAAAATACTGATTCAGTACTTAACGTGTTTCTGCAATTAGGGACGGGGCACATGTTTTCATCAGTTGTTATCCGCTCGTATATACACTGATAGCAGAAAATATGACCACACATCGCCACAACAGCATCCTCAGGTGTGTCCTGCAAAAAACATAAGTTATATTATTATTGTAGCCACTACAATAAGATCAAAACGACAAGTACTCCTTAGAAATATGAATTAGACCAGTTATTACATTGTTGCACACACTGTGCATAAGAAAAGATCGTGGCAAAATGGATGCAACCTTACCCAGGTGTCAAGCTGGGCTCAGAATTTTAGCCCTGGATACGACTACCATGACGAGCAGGGCCCAATTAGGTTTTGCATTATCCCATAAAATATGTAGGTTTTAACCAGTACATGTGTTCAGGTACCATTTTCGTTGTGTGGCTCCGCGCTATGAGGTCTTATGCCAAGAGCGTGAACAAGAGAGGGAGGCATATCTTTAGTGCAAACCATGGTCGAGTCAAACCATGATAACTTCCCAGATAGGCCCCCATCAATGAAGTTTGGATGGACTAGATTCATAGGGGCATGGATCACATAGATGATAACTTTCTAAAGTAACCCCTCAAATGTTGGGGTAATTGTTTGTCAGGGTTAAATATCGAACGATGCTAACACATAAATCTCATATAAAGATGGCACACGTGAGAGTTTGCACGATTGCACTCAAAAGAAAAGAGAAAACAGATGAACTTCAAAATAGTGAGGAAAGATCAAACCACTTACACGGCATACAGCACAAAGCGCTGATACTTCCAGCCTTGCAAGCAAATCTATTACCCTTTCCTTGGAAAGTTGTTTTGCCATCTCTATAGAACCATCGCCTTTAAATACCGACTGATGCCCCTTCACAAGAAGAGGATGATCACAAGCCTGCCTAAGGCGCAACAACAATAAAAGGATATTGGCATAGTTTTGTTTGACTGTTCCGGCAGCAGCATATTCCTGAAATGGATAGACAGCATGTCAGGAGTCATAAATTTCACTTCCAACATTTCTAGTTTCCACAAGGGATGCCAATGTTAAGCTTCTGTTGATCTAAAGAATGTCCACGCCTCAGAAACTACTGTCCACTTACCTCCCTAGATGTAAAATAATGGTATAGGAATACCAATAAAGAATTCCACAAACAAAATTTCAAAGGAAAGCGGTAGGAAAACAAGCTGGGAGGAAAATCTGATTAATTAAAGCTAGACATGTTTGCTGTCGAACCCACCCGCATCAAACTGCAGTTTGGGTCACGGGTGATGTCAGGTTTAAACCACTGAACCTGTTTCCATCACAATTCCAACTCAAAAGAAGCCATAGCTGAGTTCCAGCCAAGCTTATTTCCCTCGACGGAGATGCGCGACAGATAGTGTGGCGTTGGAAAGGGTGCTATTAAGGAAGTTGGCTGAGGAGAGCACAACAAGAGAGGGAGAGGTAGGGGAGGGCGGCAACCACTACAGGGATGGGGAGAATACTTGAGACAGGGGGGCACGGAGTACCCCTTTGTATTGTGATGGCAGAAAACCCCTTATAGAACATGGAAAATACAAAGGGGTACATGGCTAAATATATATAACTCTTAACACACACACCCTCAAACCCCTGGTGGATCAACAACACTGAGTCCGGAGTGATAAAAGCCGTGTTGTGCTCTAGTTTGGGCCTTCATAAAGAAATCCACCAACTGTAACCCGGAAGGCACATGCTAAAGAGCATTAACCTGATCATGCACACCAGCGCGCACAAAAGAAGCATCAACCCCAATATGCTTGGTGAGCTCATGCTTCATAGGGTGACGTGCAATACTAATAGCACCTGTATTGACAATAGCAGAGTAGGTGTAGTGAGAACACCAAACTCCTGAAGTAACCACCGTAACCAAGTCACCTCTACCGTCAAAAGAGCCATAGCTCGAAACTCAGCCTTTGCACTTGAATGGAAACTGCAGTTTGTTTCTTCGTCTTCCAAGCAATGAGAGAACCACCTAGAAAAACACAGCAAAAAGTGAACGGCGATCCGAGGGATGACTAGCCCACGTAGCATCCGAATAGACCTGAAGCTGTAATGAACTGGAGAGTGGAAAGCACAGACGGTGAGAGATGGAGCCACGAAGATATCGGAGAACACGAAGAAGGTTGACTATATTGAACTAGAGTGGGAGCAGAGACAAACTGACTCAAAATATAGACAGGATAGGAGCCTAGGAGGTGTCCGGACGAGTGACAGCTGGATAGACAAGGCTCCCAACAAGACGACGATATTGTGTCGGATCACATAAAGGGGTCACTGAAACTAGTGATCAGACGTGGTCTCCAGGTTGTGAGGAGACGGCCGGGTCGTGAGATCGCTAGTTGGTGACCTTTTCTATCGGCTAGTTGAGCGATAAGTGGATCAGGCAGTTGTGAGCTTGACCGTGTGTCATGCTTGTGCTATTTAAAGCTTTGTAATCGGTTCAGCTAAGTGGCATGAGAAATAGAGAAGAGAAGAAAACGCTCCGGCTAAGAGGCGTCAGCCGAGCACCAAAAAATTCCTCTATGTGTGTGTTCTTCTGTCCAACATTTGGCACCAAAGCCTCGTGTGTCAAGGTCCAATCCTTCGTCGTCGTCAAGTTGTGTCATGACCAAAGGAGAAGGACATGCTACCCGGTAAGTCGTGCCACCGGCGGCAAGGAGGTGATTGTCATGGCATGGAGGCCATTGCCACAAGGAGTTCATCATCCACATCGGAGTCGTGGACACGGTGTGTCGCCAGCAACGAAGATGCGGCGAAGGCGTAGGAGGTGCGCCTCTCATTGAAGCCAACGGCGATGACAATCGGTGTGACGAGATGTCAATTACGGTCGTCGATGTGCTGCACCAACGGGATCGACGACAAAAGGACAAAAGGCTTCACGAGAGGATAAATAATAAGATTAGGGAGGTGATTGTTTGAACTAATCTTGTTATTAGTGTTAAGTGTATAGGATTAGATAATGTTTAATTTGTAGTCGTAACACTAGAAGCTGCGGCTGTGTGCATATGTTGGGACGTGGACGTGGCCATGTGTACGCATGCAAAGCTAGTAGTGTTAATTAGTTGCATGCGTTGTTAGTTAGTAGAAGTGGTGCACGTGTGCTTGCATGGATAAGGCTAGTTGTTAGATAGGCTCAAGTGTGAAACTAGTGATCAGACGTTGTCTCCAGGTTGTGAGGAGATGGCCGAGTTGTGAGATCGCTAGTTGGTGGCCTTTTCTATCGGCTAGTTGAGTAATTAGTGGATCAGGCAGTTGTTAGATTGACCATGTGTCATGTGTGCGCTATTTAAAGCTTTGTAATCGGTTCAGCTAAGTGGCATGAGAAATAGAGAAAAGAAGAAAACGCTCCGGCTAAGAAGCGTCAGCCGAGCACCAAAAATTCATGCGTCGTAAGAAAATACTGCCATATCTTTTGGCGTGTGTTCTTCTGTCCACCACCCATGTGCTAATTTCCTGCACAAAGCCAACAATCACCAGAGGCAAAACGCTCAAACCCCCGCTATCCGTATTAACATGTCCCCGTCCCCATATCGGTGCTTCATAATTGAAGAATAGGAGCAAGTGAAGCAGCTAACCCGTTAAAAGATGCAAACTATCGAAACCACACTGCCAAAACCATGTACTTGCGGGCTGGGCTGGGCTCTCATCCCAAACCACCTAAAACCGCATGCACACACCCTACATTAAGCAATGAGCCAATGATTGCAAGCAACTCTAAAATAGGACTCTAGATCATGACAACGATCTTCTACCTACATGCGACACTTGGAAGTGGAGACAAGGCACATGCCACCAGTTTAGCGATCAAATGGTACAAAATTATAATATAACAAGGCCATCGACAAAGTATGGGGAAAGGTAAGATAAACATGAAGTTTTAACCAACCTTGAACTGTTGCCGAGAACGTTCTTCCAGTGTCAAATAAAAAGCTCGCTCCTCCTTTGTGAAATCCACCTTTTGCAACTTAATTGTCTTTGGAGGTAAGTTTATGATCGGTTCTCCATTTATCTTAGTTTCTACATATAAAAAACAGCAATATGAGATCAGCAGAGGTAGCAAATGGAAAAGAGTCATGTCAATATGTGTTTAGAGATCTCCCAACAAAATTATACAATGTGAAACCCTATGGAAGTTCTTTCTATGAAAAGAAAAGAGAAAGGAAGTGCGGGATACTGAACACAAGTGGCTAGCGATATTAACACAGGTGCCCTAGTGTTTTCAAACAAGAAATCAAATAACCTACTATCTTCTCTTACATGTAACTCAAAGTACTGAACACAAGTGGCTAGGAATATTAATACAGGTGCCCTGGCATTCTCAAACACGAAATCAATAACCTACTATCTTCTCTGACATGTAATTCAAAGTTTCTGTTCTTCCAACTGTTCGCACAGTAATACCTATAACTGATTAGGAAGTCATGGAACTAGAGAATGCCTACCCCAAAAAATGGTGTAATCACATGCAGATTTAAACTTGGATATAATTCATCAAGTTCCCATAACTAATAAAAAGTACTAAGCGGCGTGGTTGGAATTGTATTAGTTTGCAATGAAATATCCAAAGATCATATATACGTGAGTACTCAGGCTCAACCATGCCGTATGTATTCCCTCCCTTGGTACATGGATATTGGAACTATCACTATTAAAAAAACAGCCGGTTAATCAGTTAACTGGCCGATTATTCCTTCCTCAGAGGGTCACCGAGTAGCTGATTAACTGATTATTAGCCAATTTGCCTATTAATCCTCCACTCGCCAGACAACCAGACAGTTACCAGTTAACGATTTCTTAGATAGGTGCAGTAAATACACATTTTTCTCTCACCTTTTGTGCGACGCAGGAGAACTATCCTCAACACAGTTTGTAGTTTCTTATACCCATGGACTGCATTTCTAGCAATTGGGTGCTTTATCATTGTACAAAATGAGCTATATGTAGAATATGGATCATATTTCAAGAAACGGAAATAGCTGTAGAGCTCATCGATTGAATTTTGTATAGGTGTTCCTGATAAGCACCATCTCCTTTTTGCTCTTAGTCCACAACAGCCTTTAGCCACTTGAGTTCGGAAATTTTTTATCGTCTGAGCTTCATCAAGAACCACCCGAAACCACCGTACCCGGGCAACTGGGCCACTGTCAAGGTCAATATCTGAATCCTTAAGTTTCTTCTTCCTTTTCTTAGATTTGCTTGGTGGTTTTCTTTTATTACCAACAGAAGATTCTTCCCCATTCTTTTGATCTTGGTCATCATCAGCATTCTGTTTAGGCACTTCATTCGCCACAATTGTGTATGTCGTGACAACGACATCATATTTTGCCAGCTCACTTGGATCTTTGGTCCTTGCACCACCATGGTAGACTAAAACAGATAACCTAGCACTTTGACTAACCTTGTCATTCAATTCATTAGCCCACTGCTTAAGAACACTAGCAGGGCATACTACTAAAGTACCTGCAGCTGGCCTTGTCATGGATCGCATGGTCGATGATGCAGATGATGTGCCTGTTTTAGTCTTCTTGCGTTCAACTTTGCTTTCAACAACAATTCTATTTGGAACAATATCCATATGACTACTAGATGGTTTAACATCACTAGTACTAGCTGCTGTTGATAAACTAGCGTCTAAATCCTTCTTGGGTTCATCGTTCATAGACTGTTTCGCCTTATCAACAACAGTCACTGCCTCATCGTCTTCATCAAGGTTTAGCGCTTCAGATTTCAAAGGATCTGAATCAGCACACATGAACTTAGACTGCTGACTCTTCTGTTTTAGTATAAGGGCAATTGTAGACACAGTCTTCCCAAGACCCTGTAACAATAAACTACTTATCATTAAGAAGAATTTAACAAGAAGTGAGTAGTTTTTGAAAGGTTGGAAACCACAAATAACCTGATCATCTGCAAGAATTCCTCCTGCACAATGTGAACTATTCTCCTTCGAAACCATCCAAGCTAATGCCATTTTCTTTCAAGGAGAAAAAGTACGTAAGGAACATGATATTCAGAACACAAGAAACTAATAAATAATTGATATTCAGAACATGATACATATATACACAGAAATATGTTACTACACCCCATGGGTTATACCCTAAAAAGCATGGACACGGCAAAAACAGCCATATCGGCGTCCTAGTACGGGGGTGCACAGCAATACGCACGGATACGACGGGATACGCGTATTCGAACAAAAGAGGTGGGAGAGTGACGGGACAGTGTCAGATAGCAGATATGTACAGCTTGATCACGGATAGCACTGCCCATAAATCCAGCGCTGAGGTTTTGTGATCCGAAACAGAATCCAAATTTTATATTGGATCCAAAAGTATGCAAAGACATGGTGGACAGAAAGATCCCGTTGAGCAAGAGAACTCGCGGATCACTATTCCCCTTGAGTGAGTATATATACTATCCATCTGATTAGTACTTGTAATAGTACTAGAACATCATCTCTTTCTTTTTGCAGCAATACAATAGAATGATGCATGTAATTCAGAGAATGGAGAATTTAGGTACGGTTATTGAGTTGTGCGGCAGAATAATTTGAAGATTTGACGGGGACTATACGAAAGAATACATGGTGCTCGTGATAGAGTAAGAACCAGGTGTTGCATGGCATGCGGCCAGCCAGGCAACAACAGTACTTGTAGACATGCCTCTGGATCAAAGATGGCGTAGACATGAATTAGACCATCTCTAGTTTAGTTGTGGCGTGAGTTATATTTTCTATTCACGCCAAACTTCTATGGCACCATATAAACTTGTACTCCCTCCGTTCACTTTTATAAGTCATTTCAGACAACTCAAATTGGGCTGTTTTGTACATTGTCTGAAATGTCTTCAAGGTCTTATAAGTGAACAGAGGGAGTATTTCTTTTCATTATCCAGTTTGTTGTGCCCTCGAAATAATTTGATACTAATGAAGATAATAAATCCTTCTGTTATATTATTATTATATCAAAATCTTGATGTGCGATGCAAACTTTAACAGTTCAGATTGGTGGGTTCGGTGACTAGATTGTAGTACATAGCCTGGAGTATGCTGTCCGTACTAAGGGCATGGCGTTTTGACTCTGGGGAGCATGTACTCCTGCGGTGAACAGTAAATTCAAACAAAATAGCAAATAAATTTAAAAAAATCTTTTTCATGTTCGTGTTATGTCCAAAGCATGCTTGACAATTTTCATGCGAACTGGAACCATAGCATTTTGTCAGTGAAAAAAACAAAGTTACGTGGTTGAGAAATGCCAAAAAATTGGTGTTCAACTTTTTTTTTGCACCGATCTAAATGCTTTAGCTTTCCACCTAAACATTTGCACATAACATTTGGACATCAATATGTACATGGCTGAAAAATTCGTACCCATTTTACATTTACAAAAAAAGAATTGGCACACAGAAGCAAATGCTCCCCTGAGCTGAATTGGATATCTGGAGTATATATATAGTTTTATCGAAGAAGTATGTAATATGCAGGGTGTAGGATGTAGTATATAGCCTGTAGTATGCCTTGTGCAGTAAGGAGTATATGATATCATGAAAAGACAGTGTGACGGAGAAATGTAGTACACATAGGGCCTGTTCTGATCTCCTCCAGCTTCTAATTTCACCAGCTTCATAAATAATTTTGTCCCGAACGTTTGGGCTCCAAGAAGCTAACTTCTCGAAGCTGACCCAACTCGCAGTGCAAAAACGTGAAGCTCGGTCGGCCCAACTCCACCAATCGAAGAATCAGAAGTTCGCCCAATTTACAGGGAGTTGCCACCGCCAAAGGTAACGGTTCGCTGCCCCCCGCGCGATAAAAAGAAACCAGCGATCCCCAACTAATCGGTACCCCTCTCCCTCCCCCGTATCGGTGCACTGGGCCCAAACAAGGCTACCTCCAGCCGGCCCAATCAGTGCCAAACGGGCCAGAGCCCTCCCAGCTGGGCTGCAGCTCCACGAGAAGCTGCCGATGCAGCCAAACGTTCCTGCGATCGCTACGTGAAGTTAGAAGCGAGGAGGAGAAGCTGGATATGTGGAGTTTTGAGAAGCCAGAGGAGATCCGAACAGGCCCATAGACTGGAGTATGCCAGCCGCGTGATGTAAGAAGTATACTATGTAAGATATGTGAGTATGTGGTATGTCGTGTCTAGATGAATCATGTAGGAGGCAGTATGCCATTGAAGAACTCTGTAGTATGCTATATGTGGGGAAAGAGGAGACAGTAGTATCAAGTGTGTGCGTGGACGTGGGATGCAGCATGTTAATTGGGAGGATGGCGTTGTGCACATTATATGGAGTATATGGTATTTATTCTTTATATGCCAACCAAATTCTTTTGTTGGCAATTTCGAAACAGGCTGAAAATGGGTTTTGGACAATTTTTATGTGGCCAAGAAAATCGACTTACATGTGCATGCATGTTGTACTAAATGATGTCCAGTTATTATTTTATTAGTCTATAGGGACATTGTTAGTTGGGAGTAGGATCCCATTTTTTGTCTGCTCGGTGAGAAAGAATCGCCCAGATAGAGAGAATATATGTAGGTTGTTGGTAACTGGACTATCTATTTTTTACGTAGAGAAATAAAGCAAGATTTGATTGTTTGGTAGGGAGATAATGATGACACACAAAGAGATAGATTCGACGTCTCTTTGGGATAAGCTCACAACCACGATAAACGCCCAATAAACTAAGAAATGAATTAATGATAATTGCAAGCGAGTCGGATGTGAAACCGATAGCCACTACTATTCAGAAGTTCTACCAATAAACACAGGCTCGATCAAAACATCAGGATATTGTGAGATCAACGGTGGATGCTATGGGGGTAACTACACCCTTATATATACTCGCCGTATCCCCATACGGCTGTTTTTGGAAAATGCTGTATCTCGTGTCCCTGTATGCATATCATCATGTCCATGTCCCTGTATTTGTGCTTTTTTTAGGTTATACTACCCCTAAATCTGGCATAATTCATGCTTGCGGAATTGCTATTCCATCTTCTTCATTTCACACCTTACTAGTCAATAGTACAGTGCTGACGGCATGCCCTATAACAGGGATAATGCATCCTAAATTCGACTACCACTTATCATTAGTTCATTTTCAATTGGACTGGGTCATCATGGAGAGTACAGTGCATTAGCGTGGAAACATAAATATGTGAATCTCACAGTGTGATCTCATGGCACTCCAGAAGTAAAAAACCCGCACTCATATAAAGAATAGTGTACCTGGTGCTTAAGCAGAGATACTGATAAGACACCCTCATCGAGATCATCTTCCCTTTTATCCAGACTAATGTTCTGCATAACAGAATAATAAAAGCAAGTTACTCAAACCATAGAATCAAATGTAAGAGTAATAGCCAAATAAATAACCTGGATTGCTAAAACTTACTATTTCCATGGGCTGGTAAACAAGAACATGCAGATGTATATTCTCATTGATAAGTCAAAACTAGCACTTGCATTTATAATGCAACAAAATTATTTTAAAAAGATTAAAAGCTCTGCAAATGCAATGGTAATGTATTTATTATTCTGACTACCGTAGAAATATGCAGCACATAAGTTTGGTATTTATGCAGTAAAATGATTAACATGGCAAATTCATATAGGTAGAACCTGTATTTTTCTTCAGATAGATACTTTAAAAGACAATGGCACATGTTAAAGCAGCATGTCGTTACAGAGTATGATTTTGAGTTCTGATAGGGATTATCAGCTGTCTTTTAATCCATCAAGCCAAGTCAGCAATGCAAGTCACGGAACTTATCAAAGAAGAATAAGTCAATCATAGATAATTGCCTCTGGACAAAACGTCACATGATTAGCTGGGCATGAACATGAATGTTGTTTATGTCTCAACGGACCAAAGATGCATACCTGAAGAGCCTCTTGATATACTGCGCTCTCGTCAGGATCCATAAACCTATTTTCTAGGTTTGGACGAGCTTGCATGTCATTAACATTAGCAAGTTCATTGTTACTGGCAGAGTTATGGCCTCCAAAAGATGCAGGCAGCATCCTATGTGAACTAGGACTATCATATACATAGACATCATCTGGCAATTTTAAAGAGGGAAAAACATTAGTACTTGTATTGAAATCCTGCAACCATTTCCAGTGTATGATTCAATTTGACTAATTTGAGACTAGCTACACAAACCATCGTCATTTTCCATGGTATCCTTCTGGGCATTACTCACAGAGTAGCTTCGGATTGAGAACCTTGAAGATGAAGGCTGCCCAGTGCCATTGGCATCATTTGTTCCTATACTATTATCATCCAACCTTTGTGAATTTCCATTGGTAAAACGTGATGGGAGTTTACGGCTCTCACTTGCAACACTTGGATGTGTAGATTTTGACGTGCTTCCACTGGCAAAAGATGAAGGAAGAATCCTCTTGTTATTGCCATTTGCATCCACTGCCAAACCATTACGCTCCCTCACTGCGATATCAAGTCTACTGGACGAGAGAGAGGCCCTTCCAGAATCGTGTCTTGGCCCCGAATTTGAATGTGGATAAGTTCTGTCCCCCGAACCTAGTGTATAACGGGCTTTCTCAATATCAATACCATTTGCGAAGGAAGGTGGCAGAGTTCTGTACTGACCATTATCATTTATATTACACCTGGAAGAAGAGGGAGTGCTCCTCAACAAATCTTCGTCCTGAAAGCAGACTGATTGCCCTCCGCCATTCTCGCCAGATGTGACATTTGTAGAAGTTGGATCGTCAGAGTCAGAATCAAAATCATCACCACTATCCGATATCAAGTCAATAACATTATCGTTATCGTTATTCATACTGCCGGCAAGCATGTGCACCGCGTCTGCTTTTTCAGGACTCAATTGTGGTTAGCATTCAAACCATGCATGCATGAACAAGGTCAGATGGCAGAGTGTTAACCTATCTTTCAGCCTCCAGACTGAAAGTAAACCCACTTTGAAATTTATGTAGATGATTGGCAAGCTAGACAGATAAAGCACACCACACGATTCCTGGTAGCACTAGCAGTTACTCGAGTTATCCGCAATTGGCCTGCAAGCGGATCACATAAAATTGCAGCTGAGTAGATATCAAGTTATGGTGCACAGAACAGGAATAACAGCATGAAAATATTGTTCCAAATATCGGTCAGTTAATCGGCATCTCGGTCAGTTAATCGCCACTCAGTGGGTCACCGAATATCCAATTAATTGATTTATTGGCCGTTTAACTGATTTATCAGCCGATTAACTGGAAAATGCTATCTGAAGTCTTTCCTGTCATGTAATAATGGTTTCGATACCTCCCTAGACTAGCCTTTAGAGGGGTTATTTTAGTTCCATCGTGGTAGTTTGGTGCCACGGCGCGCAGCCAGCCTGTTTGCTGTTCCGTTTTTTCGATTCCTGAACTGTGTTTGTAAAACTTTTGGTTTCATGCTCTGCAGTGGAACCAGGGAGGCCCTTGTGGCTCCCTGATGCTCTAAAAATTAACTGGAAATTTCCCCTATTTATCACTACTCGGCACCCAACCAAGGTACCAGTTACCGATATCTTGAACATTGGAAAATATTGAGGAATTATTTTGTGAGAACCCCTCCTAAAAGTCATATGCATGCTTTATCGTCCTGCGAGTGGTCAGATGGAATTCTTCAGCATTAACACACAGGAAGAAAACGATAAGGAAAAGATATCAAAATTATTATAATTTTATTTAAAAAAAGTGGCAACACATCAATTGGAAATTATAGTGACCTAAGCCCGGAACAGATCAGTTCACTGGAGAGACTTTCCAGATCAGTTCAGCTCTAAAAATGGACCAATCAGACCCTACGCGCACGCTGATGATAGATGAGGGTTAGGTCTACGCTGAGGACTGTACTGGATTGAAGATGTCATTTCAATACCAGAAAGTAGAAAGGACTTTGCACGGACGCGCAACCGGACCAAATTCTGCGGTAGGGAACCCATGCTTGACGGGATCAACCAATCTCCCGATCCGAGACCGCCAAGATGGCCCGGCCCGGAAAACCCCATCCGGGGAGAACCGAACAGCAACCTCGAGTTCACCCGAACAAAAAGCAACCCCGAGGCGGGGAGAAAGCCACTGCACGGAACCCCCAGCAGCAACACGCACCTCTCGGGAACAGGCGAAAATCCGCGAGATCAGCCCTCGCGGCGCTCGACTCGGCGGCAGAGGAGGAACAGGCCGGCCGTTGGATACCGTTGCGGACTGGGCCGCGGCGGGATCAGGTCTGGGCAGGGGAGGTCGCCGCGCAGTTCACTGGGAGGAGGGGTGGCCGCACGGACAGGTGGAGGAGCAGCCTCGTGGAGGCGGAGGAAGGAAGCTTCTGGTCGAGACGTGTCGCGGATCCTATTTCCCCAATCTTTTGCGTGTGTTTGGTCGTAACTCTAGCCTGCATCATATGTATAATTTTTTTTAAAAAAATAGGATTTAAAGTAATTTTAGCAGATCCTGTAAATCGGAGTCCCGCAAAATCGTTTACGGTTTTCGAAAACGCGCCCTCGCGGCACCGCAAATCCATACTCGGAGTTTTAGACAAGTTCATGTTTTTGAACAATTTAATCTTAATACAATAGCAATATAAATTAAACCTGTTAATGCTTTGACATCATACAATACAATAATCATCTCAATACAACAAATGTTCAATTGTAAATAATTAAAATAATATGGTCTGAAAATGATAGAATGTTCAAATCACACATGGATATAAATAAGATCAAATAAATAAAATGGAAGTCTATCTCTCATACGGTTGCCACTGATTGATCATTACGTAGCTAGGTGTGTGTGGTATTGTTCTCAATCTGCCGATAGGTCTCAAGAATTGCATTCATCTGATGTGGGTTGATGACAGGTTTGACACGGTTACCAATATTGTTATACAAAAACACTAAGTTTAATCCTTCATCCTTAATCATTATATGTCGTGTAGAATTAGACATGCAGCCATGATATTGAAGAGGGATTTCTTATCCTAGACTAGAAGCAAGCAGGAACTCGAACAATAGCAAACCGAGCTTGCAACACACCAAATGCCCTCTCAATATCCTTTCAGTGTGCTTCTTGTGCTTGGGCGAAAATAGTTTGTTTCTTATCTTCTGGCTTACTGATGGTTGATACGTCTCCAACATATTTATAATTTTGATTGTTTCATGGTATTGTATTATCGATCTTGAATGCTTTATTATACTATATTTTTTTAGATTAACTTATTAACTCGGTGCCCAATGATAGTTTCTTTTTTACTTGTTTTTGGCTTTTCAGAAAATCAGTATCAAACAAAGTCCAAACACAATGAAGCGTTACGATGATTTTTTTTCTGGACTAGAATGGACCCTAAAATGTTCGGGAGGAGGTCAGAAGACTTACGAGAGAGCCACGAGCTCACAGGACACGCACTAGGGCTGGGGCGCGCCCCCTGAGCTCGTGACTCCCACGCAATTTTACTCCGTTTGACCTAATTCCACCTCTATAAATTTCCAAATATTCCTAAACCAACATAGAGCTACCCGAAACACATTTTCCGCCACCGCAAGCTTATGTTCTACCGCGATCCCATCTGAAGGCCTTTTCCGGTACTATGCCGGAGGGGGGAATCGATCACGGAGGGCCCCTACATCAACTTTGCTGCTCATCCGATGATGCGTGAGTAGTTCAGCACAGACCTGCGATCCATAGCTAGTAGCTAGAGACTTCTTCTCTCTCTTTGATCTTGAATACAATGTTCTCATCGATCTTTTTGAAGTTCTATCCGATGTAATTTTCTTCTATGGTGTGTTTGTTAGGATTCGATGAATTGCGAGTTTATGATCAGATTATTCATTTAAAGTAATTGAGTCTTTTTTGAACTTTATTATGCATGATTGTCATAGCTTTGTATTTCTCTCCGATCTATCCATTTGGTTTGGCCAACTAGATTGATTTCTCTTCAGTGCGAGAGGTGCTTTGTAATGGGTTCAATCTTGCGGTGTTTTCACCTAGTGACAGAAAGGGTAGCGAGACGCGTATTTGTATTGTTGCCATTAAGGATAAATCAATGGGGTTTTTTCATATTGCTTGGGTTTACTTTGTCAACATCATGTCATCATACCTCATGCAATACTTTGTTTGTTATGAACTTAAAACGTAAAGAGGCAAACATAGAAGCGCTCTCGAAGTGGAGTAATAGTAAGAGATATAGAATCGTTTTGGTCTACTTGTCATGGACGTGATGCCTATATACATGATCATTGTCATAAATAACATCATAACTATGCGCTTTTCTATCAATTGCCCAACAGTAATTTATCTACTCGCCGTATGATATTGTTTCGACAGAGAAACCTCTAGTGAAAACTATGGTCCTCGGGTCTATTTTAATCGTATTACTAAAACCAAAATACCTTGCTGCAATTTACTATTTTTATTTTGTTTTACAATTTATGTATCTACCTATACAAGATTTGATCCTTGCAAGTAACGAGTTTAAGGGGATTGACAACCCTCTTGCCCATGTTGGGTGCAAGTATTTTCTTTTGTGTGTGCAGGCAATGTTTGATATATCGCCAACGTACCTATAATTTTTTATTGTTCCATGCTATTATAGTATATATTAGCAAAAATGCTCGTGCATTGCAACGAGAGAAAAAATGCATGTCCCTGAACATGATACAAGACCCTCACATGTATATAACCTATATGTCAACACGACGCCCCACTGTGTTGGTGTCACCGCTTATCCTCCTTCCCGTCCTCATAATAGGCGAGTCTAAGGGTTGTATTCACGAACACCAGCTTGTCGAACGAGGAGGGTTTCAGACCGACGACATCGATGACGAGTGCTAACTTGTCAACACACATTGTGGGTTGATGGTCTTTGCTAAGGTACCAGTTTGCATGACCCAAATTATAATACAGCTAAATGAATGAATGATTGTTGCATGTGTGTGGGGGGTGGGGTGGGGTGGTTTGTCACTTCTAAATGGGTAAAGGTAAAGATAGTCCTACAATTTTCTAATTGTGGGCATTAGTGCTAGAGTTATTATCTCTATATGTTTATGCCCAAATAAATCAAGTACTAGTAATATCACTTAATTGGACCAATAACATAACTGCAAAAGGTACGGATTGAAAAAAACCGGTTCACAATCATTTACTGGAAAATATATTAGGACAATGTTTGTCATATATATACACGCAGGGGATCAATATTTTAATTTAAAGTTCTATGAAGTGTTTGTGGCTCATTCCTCGTTACATTTAGAAGAAGAAAATTTTATCATCTGTAGGCGGGCGCTAGCACTTTGCAGAAGTTATACCTTCGAGATTCACTCTCAAATAAAATTCAAAAGTGCAAAAATAGATCTAACAGTAGTCATAGTACAACTTAGCAGCCTCCTCGTTTATTAACTTGTCATTGTTTTGATGTAGATTTGGCACCAGCCTCTCTAGCTCTGAGAACTCAAAGTACATACTAGATGAAATCCCTCTCAAGTGTGTTTCTGCTTCTACAATAATCAAAAACTTTTTGTAGTGACATCAACAATCAATACATTTTATTTGTGCAGATAGAAATACATATCACAATAGTACTCCATTCTCTCGAGCAAATACATCATTGTGAATTAGTGGGTTGCACATAATTAGGGTAGCATCGTGGATTTAAGTCGGGTGGAATTTAACATCCAAGAGTAGAAAATCCACTCATTTCTCATCTAAATCGACCTTGCATCTTTGGTACTGCAGAAAAGATCACGTAAATTTATAAGCAACAACATTATCTAAATTTATAAGCAGCAATTATATATGATCTCTTATCTTTAGATGTGCA